GTGTAGTAATAGAGAGCTGCCAGGAACTCCTGGATGGTCAAGTGGGAGAAGTAGTAGGCTGTGGAGGCCGGCATGTCCTCCTTGAGCAGGAGGCGGGTGCAGAGGCAGCTGTGCAGCAGGGAGAGGTCGATGCCGTGGGCCTTCATGTCCTGCTCGTAGAACACGTGCTTCCTCCGCAGCAGCCCGGAGAAGGCCAGCCTGCCCAGGCTGCCCACCAGCTTCTTGCTGGTGTTCACAGCCTGCTCGATCCTGAGGGCTTCTCTCGGCTTTTCCTGCCAGTCACCACTCAGAGCCATTTTAAAGTAATAGGAGTAGATTTCTGACAGGGTCCTGGGTACCACAGACGCTTCTTGGGATTGATCGCTGCTGTGTTTGAGGAAATAAGCGACTGAGGAGGCAGAAATCCTGCAAAATCCAGGAATGGTGCACAGGACGTGGAGCGACCTGTTAGCCCTGATGTGCTGCAGGACTTGGCTGGACAGATCTCTGTTGTCCAGGAACATGTGGTCCAAGAAGTCCTTCATCTCTGCAGCCCCAAAGCCCCGGATCTCCGTCATGCGGTCCACCAGCCCGCTGGGGATCTGCCCGGCCGCTGCCGGCCGTGCCGTCACCCACACGGAAGCCTCCTGCAGCAGGTTCCCCCTTATGATGTTGGTGATTAGGTTGTCTACTTGGATCTCCTTCTTGGGATCGGTGCAAACCGCTGCGTTGGAGAAATCCAAGGGCGTCTTGAACTCATCCAGGCCGTCAAGGATGAGCAGGGTGCGGGCGGCCCCGGCCGGGACGGGGGGGCAGGCCGAGCTCAGGAGGCGCTCAGCAGAGAGCTTCTCGTGCGTGTTGAGCTCCTTAAAGGTGAGGGGCAGCACGAACAGGATGTCCCTGCTGATCTCCCCCTTTGCCCAGCTGCACACAAACAGCTTCACCAGAGTGCTCTTGCCGATGCCGGCCACGCCGACGGTGACGGAGATCCGAGGGGGGATGCTGAGCTTGGACAGAGGCAGGAACAGCTTCTCCAGGGGGATGCTCTTGGATGTGCTGGGCAGGCCCTTGGTGGTCTCCACCTGCAGGATGTCGTGCTCCTTCTGCTGGATGTCAGTCAGGCCTTCCACCAGCAGCAGGTTGGTGAGGCGCTGCAGGGCTCCTGTCTCCAGGCCATTCCCACAGGAGCTCTGGAGGCTCTCCAGGTGCTTCTGCACCATGGGTTCTGCACAGAGGAATGAAACAGGGGTGAGGAGGAAGAGGAGGAAGCACAAAGGCAAATGACAGAAGCTGCTTCACTTTTCTGCTGTGCCCATGCTTACATGCTGGTGGGAAGGGTGGCAGGGCTCAAAGGGCATCAACAGGCCTTAAGGGCCCTGGTCAGCCTCACAGTCAGTCCAGGAGCCCGTTTAAGCTCAGCCCTGGGCCTTCAGTCTCAGCTAAAGCTGTGTTGTAGGAGTTAGATCTTGGACCTCATCACTCTGACATTGCCTGGTGGCCACTGGGCTGTGGCTGAACCTGGTTGCCCTTGCTGGGCCTGATCTTGGCCTCTCGATTGAGTTCCCACCTTGGCTTCATCCCTGCCTCATTGCCATGGATTTCCCTGCTTTCCCTCCTGCCTGGAAGGCTCCAACCTCAGCCCTGAATCTCTCACCATCATCCCCTGCTTGTCCAGCCTTTCCTGGGGGTTTAATTTCACTGTGATACCTGAGCCAGGTGAGCAGAACAGGGCCAGCAGTGGCCACCAGGCTCAGTCAGGAGTGCAGCTCATCAGAGAGTCCATGGCAGTGAGGCAGGGATGAAGCCAAGGAGGAAACTCAATCGAGAGGTCAGGGTCAGGCCCAGCTGGAGCCCGCCAGAGTGCCTTGCCAAGCCCTCATTGTGATGATGCCATCCCAAAGCCCTGGGAGCTGCTGGGTGAGGGCAGCAGCTACTGAAACTGGAGCCAAGGAGACTGAAGAGCACAACCATGAAATGCTGTTTCCTTCTGGGATCCAAACCCATGCAGAGAACAAAGCCTGAGCAGGATCATGTCCCTCCTGAGCCAGCCATTCCTCAGTGCCAGTGCAGCCCTGCCTTAGATCTGCCCACACCCTGGTGCCCCCCTCACCCATTTCTGACCCCAGCACCCCCCCAGGGTGGCAGATCTGCCCAAGCCCCACTCACCTTCCATCAGAGGCCTCCTGTGGCATGGGTGGTGCCAGGGTGAGGGGTGCTGTGGTGGCAGCAGGGTCCCATGGGCCACCCCGTGTCCCTTGGCTGCTCACGGCCCCACCCGGGGCTCCTCAGCCCCTCTCCATGGCCCTGGGGAGGAAGAGGAGAAGATCAGGAGAGGTGTGGGAGGGAGCCTGCTCTGAGCTGCCTGTGGGTCAGCCAGGGGGTCACTCATCAGCTTTTGGCTGGCACAGGGTCCCCTTCAGTATCAGGGGCACAGCTGGGCCCAGACCTTCAGTGGGCCCACATGTGGTGTCGCAGACATCTTTTTATGAAAATCCTTTCCTGAGGATTTTTTCTCTTGAGAAGCTGAGAGGCCTCAAAAACAATTGTAGACAATGATTATCTGCTGCTGTGGAATGCAACAGGTGCATCTGTGATTGGTCTCATGTGCTTGTTTGTCATTAATGGCCAATCACAGCAGTGCTGGCTCAGACAGAGAGTCTGAGGCAGCTGCCTTTGTTATCATTCTTTTCCTTACTATTCTTAGCTTAGCTAGCCTTCTGAGATGAAACCTTTTCTTCTATTCTTTCAGTATATTTTTAATGTAATATATATCATAAAACAATAAATCAAGCCTTCTGAAACATGGAGTCAGATCCTCGTCTCTTCCCTCATCCAAAGACCCCTGTGAACACGGTCACACGTGGTGCCTTCACCACCAGCACCACCTTCCTCAAGCACAGAGGGGCAGGAGTGCACCTGTGCCCTCTGTGGGTCACCCCAGTGCCACCACTGCCACCAGGGCTGGGAGCTGTTGCACCTTGTCCTCTGTCCTGTGAAGGAAGCTGTGGGGCAGCAGGCAGTGATGATGAAGGGCCGGCTTTGGTTTCAAACCCACCTTGGCCCCATCCAGAGCCTCTGTCAGGGCTTGCTGAGCGGGGCCAGCACCACATCCTGTGCAGAGCTCTGAGGATGCTCTGAATCATCACCTGCTCCCTCCCCCTCACTGCTGCCACACCACGCTCGGGGCTTGGTGGTTATTTTTGAGAGGTGTATCTGCTCAGAGCCCTGCTGCTCTTCCAGCAGAGGCAGAGAGGGGAAATCTCCATGCCTGAGATGCTCCAGCTGTGCTACAGACACTGTGCTGCGGCCTCTGCACCAGCCCCAAAGTCATCTCCAGGCTCTGGAGATGAACTCCTGAGCCCCAGGGGATGTCTGATCACAGGAGCAATGCACACACAGTGTCTCAAGGCCTGTGTCTGGCGTCTTCCCTCCCCTCCAGGTGCCCTGCAGGGTGTTCTGGATCCACGTGAACACCTCCATGCTGGTCAGAGGCTCTGCAATGGCTACTGCACACAGACAACCTTGCCTTTGTCCAGCCCACCCCTGAGGGGAAATGGGCACTGTGGGGGCTCTGGTGCAGCCTCATCAACATTAACACTGCTTTCCTTGGTCACACCAACATTAACACTCCTTTCCTTGGTCACACTAAAGGTAACACTCCTTTCCTTGGTCACATCAACATTAACACTCCTTTCCTTGGTCACACCAACAGGTAACACTCCTTTCCTTGGTCACACCAACATTAACACTCCTTTCCTTGGTCACACAAAGGTAACACTCCTTTCCCTGGTCACACCTCCTCTAGGGACAAAGCACAGACACAGCTGGACCAGCCAAACCTGGCAGAGCTTCTGGTCCATGGTGCAAGGCCAAGGTGCTTGGAGCTTCTCCTGTTCCTGCTCCGTCCCAGGAGTCCATGTGGGGTTTGTTTCTCCCACCAGAAGCACGAGAGGGACCTGGCAGTGTCCCAGGGCTGGGTCCCTCACACACCTGGGTCTCCCATAGAGACAAGGGGCATGTCCCAGTTCCTGAGGAGCCCTTTCAGGGCTGGGAGGTGCTGCTGGAGCAGGGTCTGAGCCCACTGCCCTTCCCTTCAGGATGGAACCCGGCTGAGCCCCTGTGCCAGTGGTGCCAGAGGTCCAGGAGCCCCGGGCAGTGGTGGTGATCCCCAGCAAAGCCTTTTTCTCCATACTGGGAGCTCTGACTCATCACCCTCAGGCAGTGGCCTGGTCAATGAAGACGCCATCAATTAAAGGAGCTCAGTGAGCAATTCACAGCTAAATGTTCACCCTGTGATGTGCTCCTTCCTGTCTCTAACAGGCCTGGAAGGCTCAATTTAGCCTTTGCAGTCCCAGGGTCTGTCTCTGGTCCTTGCTGCACTGCCAGGATGGATGAAAGGGGCTCTTGCTGCAGGGATGGAAGGGGCTCCTGCTGCAGCTGCTCCCTGCAGGGATAAAGGGGATTTTGCTGCAGGTGTTCCCTGCAGCCCTGCCTCTGAAACAGGGCCGTTTGTTGGGGGAAACCCAACACCAGAGAGGGTTTGATGTGTCCTCTGCTGCTCCTTCACAAAGCAGAGGCATCTCACCAGGAGGATAAAGCAGCAGAAGGAATAATGCAGGGAGAGCTGTGAGTTTTTCTGGTTCCAGGAGCTCCAGGTGCAGCTCTGGGAGCACACAGGGGCTGCAGGAGGCTGGCCTGGGGCTGGAGGAGCCCCCAGCTCCCACAGGAGCTGTCTGAAGGGTAAGGACTGGCCAAAGCCAAGCTCCATAACCCCTGCAGGTGTGTCCAGGATGGGACCCAGCTCATTCCAGAGCCCTGCCCGAGGTGTCCATCCTGCACATCCAGCTTTGCCCAGCCAGGATCCAGCAGGGACAGCGTCCCCCTGGCAGCCAGAGGAGCAGGGAGGCAGCTTTGTGTCTGCCCTGCCCTGCCTGTGTCCCCAGGGAGATGGGGATAAGGGGCTGGAGGGCGGGAGGCTGCCCAGCCAAGCTGTGAATGGCACCTGCAAGCCCCAGGGAAGGAAAAGGGGATTTTCTTGGCAAGAATTTGGCATCAACACTTGGTTTTTTGCTTAGTGCAATCCAAAGGTCCAGCCCATGAGAAAATCCTTTCCTCTAAGGATGTTCAGACAACACTGACGGGTTCTTCCAGCATCTCCAATCCCACTATTCCTATGAACCACCATCCCTGAGTGTCCCTGCCCAAAACCCAGCAGTGCTGGGAGCCACAAGGGCTGTGCTGGCAGGTCCCCACCATGGTCAGAGCCACTCCTCTGCCACACAGCTGCTGTGCTTCCACTGTGTCTGTTCTAGGACTCCTGACACCAAGCCCAGAGAACACAGGCCTGGATGTATCTGCTGCTCATTCTGCCTTTAATTTTAATGTACAGCCTCTAATTATGTGCAGTGTCACCCCTGGCAGTCCAACACCACCAGAGGAGTCTGGCAAGGAGGGACAGCCCTGAGGTGGCCGCAGCAGGGAGCATTTACTGCCTCCAGACCTTCCTGCTGCCCCAGACAGCCCCACCATCCTCAGGAATTGCTGAGCACCAGGCCAGGAGCTGTCCCAGCACCACCAGGGCTGCACCAGGGGACACCCAAACCTGTGTTTGTCCCCTGCAGGGCCCGTGGGCAGGTTCAGCAGTGTGGGGAGAGGGGGTGGTTGGCACCTCCAGGGGCATTTCCCAGCTCCCAGCACAGCCCTGGGCACCCGACCTGCTGCCAGGGCTGGGCTGGGGTTGCACCAAAGGGCTGAGCAAGAGCTCCTGCATGGTGCAGCACCCACAGATGGAGAACATGGAAAATGGACTGAGCTACAGCATTTAGATAAGGTTAAAAGCTTCTTACATGACCTTTGCATGGTCATGCCCAGCTGGGAAGTGCCCAGCCCAGCTCATTCCATCCCCAAAGCCACCAAAACCTCAGCCTGGCCATCTCCATGTCCCTGTGCCTCCATGGGAATGAAAACATCTCCCAGGCCAGCAGTTCCAGCTGTTCCCTGAGCTGAGCGAATCCCAAAGCCAGGATGCAGGCTGCCACCTTTTGGCAGAGTGGAAGAGACTTCACATCGTTAATTTCTGCTAATTAAACAAGGCAATATATACCTTCTGTATTATTACTCAATTAGGAGGCTTGCAGACTGGCAAGTAACTCAGATATCTAAGTTTACATATTAAATTTTAAACTTAAATTTAAAATTTAATATGTTTAATCATTTTAAACTTAAAGTTAAATAAATTTTAGACTTAAAATTTTTGGTCTGGGTTTAATGCCAGCAAAATTGATTGCCAAATTAAATGTATTTTATGTCAAATTTAATCTCTTCCAGGTTTTTTGTTTCCTTGAGCCCCAACCCCTATAAGAGAGCTCAGACACAGCAGGGTTAAATACGAGGTGAGGGAACACCAAGGGCCCCTGGGCTGGATGCCAGCAGTGCCAATCCCAAATCTCACCAGAAAAAAAGGAAAAATCAATCTATAAGTGATTCCAAACAGCTAAAAATGAAGCTAATTTTGGAGAGCAGGTCCCTTGCAGGGCACTGCTGCACCTCACAAGCTGCAGAGTGAAGGCTGATGCATTTCCTCAGCTGGCCATGCCCTGAGGATGCTTCACCACAGCTGTGCAAGCAGCTGATTGAACAGCAGATGCTCCCAGCAAACAGCTCCTGCCCTTCCCAGCCATGGGATCTCAGGATATCAGCAGGAAAACTGGGCAGGGGCTGCTGCCAGCCCGTCCCTGTGCCCCCCACAGCCCAGGGATGCAGGGATGCTGACAGATGTGGTACCCAGCCAGCCTTCCTGGGCTTGCAGAGCACCCCAGAGCAGCTGCAAGCTCTGCAGGAGGAAATTTCTGTGCAACGTGAACAACCCGAGTGGGAGGTGTCCCCTGGCTCCCCTGTCTGGCTTTGGGTAACTCTTCCATGTGGTGGCCAAGCCCTGAGTGAGGTGACAGCCCAGGGGTGACAGCAGCCAGCCTGTCCCCAGCAGTCCCACATTTATGGCCACACAGTGCCCAAAAGGGCCTAAATAACAGCAGGGTTGGGTCTGATGCCCTGAGGCAGCCCAGGGTGCCCAGCTGGGTGCAGGGCTGAGCTCCAGCCCCCCAAATTGCTCGTGGGACACCCCAGGGCCCTGCCCCACTCTTTGGTGCAGTTGTGCCACAGGTGAGTGTGTCA